CAAGTTGTGCCACTCTGCATCAATTGGTGGGAAGCCTTGTCCCTCCCGGACGTGTCCTCTGTTGCCTTCGACTAATGAAGTGAAATGGAGCACATTGATTAACCTCGAGCATACGCGCGTCTTGCGCGGCGAGTCGTGTTGGAGCGTACAGCGGACAGGACAACGCGGGCCTCAAGCACTGATGGACAAAGAGCGTGCAGATGAGGTTTTCATGTGTGAGTAGCCAGGGCTTGACAAAAAAAGGTAAGATGAATTATCGCAGTGGTTCTAAGGACTGACTGCCACAGACGTATGCGATATATGAATGTGCTTGGACATTACGGGCAGTAGACGCGGCGGCAGCGACTATATGTCGGAGCCCCAGGCACTGATTCGCCAATCTCTGTGCAATGGATTTGCAAATGTTCGACCAAGTTACTGCCCCTCAACTTTTACAAATGCCAAGTAATCCGCCTATGTTATAGTTACAGAAAGTTGATACGATTAGAGCATGAGTGCTTCAAATGAACGAGCAAATGAACGAACTAAGGGATCTAGATGTATTCATGACGTCGACCGCCAAACCATTAATACACTGTGTCAAAACTGCAAAGAAGGTTATGGGCATCCTAGGTCAATCAAAAGGTCCTTTCTCTATTTTGATGCGAAGCTTTTTGAGCGAGTATTTGAAACATTTGTCCGGTCAGGTGTGGTGCCAGGAGAATACGCAGAAATGGAGAAAGTTGAACGAAGAAGGACCAAATTGTTGAGCGGCCTGGAAGGCCTACCATATGTGGGTCGACCAGAAATGCTCAAACTTTTCCTCTCTGTTATAGGCAATACAAAGGAGATACGGTCATGGTCTTCAAACTCGTCAGGCAAGTAGACTGTGCTCTTCGGTTGGCCGATATTTTGCATTGGCAAAAGCGACACACCTTCGAGGTCATGCATAAAATCTGAAGAAACAGCATGCCTAGCTAGAAGTGCGGCCAACTTCTTTCACCACTGGGTCATTGAATACTAGAACAAACTACCTTCTTCAATTATTCTCTCTAAAAGCGTTGACAAATATAAAAGAAGTTGTGCAGGAGACGTTGGTGTGGAACACTG